CGGCTCCCTTCGCTGCGCCTGCCCTGGGGCAGGGGGCTCTCCGCGGCGCCGGGCCCCCCGTCTCCTTTCCCTGCTGTGCTCGGGGAAGAGCGATCTCGGCAGGCGAGGGGGGCTCCTCTTCTCTTCAGCAACCGCTAGAAACGGGAGCAGCTAAGCCATGTTGCTGCGTTTCCCTCAGATCCAGGGAATCTGTAGAAAGGGTCCGTGCCTTCGCGTTCCCTCCCTCGGAACGGCGTTGGCAGGGAAGCAAAGGCTCGGCAGTTAGCCTATGGTCTCCCTTTGGGTTTCATTGCTGTCCTGTAGGAGCCCTCTTTCTGTACACTCACTAGTGGGCTCTGTGGGCAAACAGGCCAAATTTCCTACTTTTCCAGTGGTATGACAGAGTAAAAGAATGATTCTTTATTTTCTGGGGTAGTGGGAGGGAGAAAAGTCGGTAAGTACGGCGAGGAAGAGTCCTGAAAATCATATGCAGTAACAAGATTGCCTGCTGTGCAGAAGTTCAAAGTTACCCCTTTCATCCGCTTGTGGTACATGTTGATCTCTTACCTGCCACGCATCTACAGGTGTGAAACTTGCAAGGTGTGTCAGGGCAAGTGGGAGAACAGCTGCTAGTATGGAGAACTGAACAGCAGAGTTTTCCCCAAAGTCTCTTAGTGAGCTCTGGTCTGGTCTTGAGATTTATTGAGCAAGGCCCAAGCTGGTAAATATTCTGCACAGGGAGCAGTAGCAGTATTTACTCTCAGGTTATTTCTTTTGCAAGTGAATTCTGATGTTATTGGAGGATTCTTACTGAATGCGAGGATTTGTTTAATAAGACTTGTAGCCTTTGGGCCATCTAATTATAATGCTCTTGAAAGCAGTGGGTGTCATACTCTTTTTGGCTGCCTTAAAGGTATGATTTAATTGACCATGCAGATGAAATAATTCAATTACTTGTAATGGAACGTGTTCATCTTAGTATATCAGATCAGTCTTCTCTTCATCTAATGTAGAAAACTGAGATCTGGGCAGGCATGTTATGTGGAGTATTGAAAATGTGGTTTGAAAAATGTAGGTTGACAAACATATAAGGCTAAAGATGCTTTCTTAAGAGGGAGTTAACTTTTTGGCAGAAGTATGCCTTGTCTCATAACAGAGTGGTGTGCTGTGTGCTACTTTGGGCCTGCTTTTCTAGAGATATCTGGATTTGTAGTGTGGTATTTACAAAGCCATGAAACACTCAAGGATGGGATTGTTATGGACATGCAAAGTTCCAGCCTTGGGTTTGTTTGTCTTGGATTGCAAAACAGACAAGACAGGCAATATCTTAAATATGCTTAAACAGTCATTGAGGGACATGGTCTGTTATGGAAGACAACCTTTTTGTTTTATTCTTTTTTTTCAATTTGTGGACACACTCATATTTAAAAGAGAAGAACAAGGCCTGATCCTTTTTGGGTAATAGATCAAACTTTTGTCAGTCACATTTCCACAAGTCTCTTTCTCATGACTGAAGTAATCCAGTTAAAAGAAAAATTGTGACACAATTATGTATTACTGCCTAAAGTAGACTGGGCATTAATTTGTCTTTCGTGATTTTTAACAGATATATTGAGGACATCATGAATTGGAATAAAGGTGGACCTGGTACTAAGAGAGGCTTTGGTTTTGGTGGATTTGCCATAACACCTGGAAAGAAAGAGGAGCCTAAGCTCTCTCAACAGTCTCATAGTGCTTTTGGAACAGCTGGTTCTTCTGCTGCATTTGCGAAATCAGGACCTCCTCAGCTGCCTTCTTTCTACAAAATTGGGTCAAAACGAGCAAATTTTGATGAAGAAAATGCGTAAGTAGGGTTATTGCTTGTGTTTATCTAGCTCTAGATTTTAGTGTTTTAAAGTTTCCAAGGTCGGGGGAAGTATCGGTGACATTTATGAAGTTTAGTTATTTAGAAAAGCCTGCTCAGGGATAAGTACCCTAACATGGCATTAGGGTGCAAGAGAGCCCTGGTAGCTTTATTGCAGTAGTGTCAAGAAAAACTGAGCTAGTCACCTGCAGGTACTCCCATCTTTGCTTTGCAGCAGACTTTTGATGTCGCTCTGGACTGAGTATTTACCCTTTCTCTGGGTGTCAGCCCATCATCTGTAAAATGAGAATGAGAATACATCCTTGCCTTTAAATATTTTTTAAGAACTGCAAGATGCTACAGCAGCCCATGGAGAGTGCTCCTCCTCTAGCTTTCCTCTCCCTAAGAACTACCTCTCCCTACCTCAGCTGAGCCTCAGGCAGCTCAGTGTCACTTATGCTGTGGTCTGAACAAGACTTTGCCTGCAGTGGTATGTTCAGAATTGGATCCAAGCAGGATAAATTTGTGTGTCTTTTGTGCAGGGAAACAGTCAACTCCACATTTCTTTACTAACCCTTCTGTTAGCTGCATAAATGTGTTGAACAGAAGGGAGCTCGGAAAATCGTCCTATATTCATCAGCCTGGGAGAGCCGTTCAAGATCAGTTTCGTAACATCCATTTGCCCTACCGCCACTTTTAGCTTACAACATGAATAATTGTAAAGAAATAAATAAATCTCAACATCTTTTCCTGTGTACGTACTGACTTTTATTATCCATCTCTGTGCGGGGAAACTTGACTCTACTCAGAAACCATGAAAGACAGCATGGTGCTGTAGACTGTGTACTGACCAGGCCATTGTTTCTTTCTTTTCAGGTACTTTGAGGATGAAGAGGAAGATTCCAGCAATGTCGAATTGCCATACATTCCCGCAGAGAATTCCCCCACTCGCCAGCAGTTTCATTCCAAATCAGCAGACTCTGACAGCGATGATGATCCTCTGGAGGCATTCATGGCTGAAGTGGAGGCAAGACCCGGCTCGTGAAACGTTTATTAATTTATGTGGCCATACTTCTCTCCGTCAGGAGCAGCAAATGTCACTCATTACTTTGGCAGCTGTATTCAGAATATCACTTAGCTTTTGTTTTTTATGTAAGATGCTGTGTTAATTAGAACTCAAAGGTGGATTAGATGGGGAGAGGGCAGATATGATTTACAGTAGTTTAACTGTTGAACTGTTTTGAGTATGTCGAGGCAACACAACAAGAGCTTTGTGTGTCTCTGAATATGAAATTAAGGTTTTGTGCATTTTGCACTACCTGAATTGAAATTATTTATGTTCATCATGAGCTGTTCCTTAGCTACAGTTCTATTATTAGCTGGATTCTATCACAGTGTTTTCATGAGGAATGTGGAGAATATATTTTTTCAACAATATTGCCACAACGTTACAGTATATAAATTTCAAAGGTATTAGTAGGCGAATTTATTTATCATAATAAGGTATGGAACCAGAGAAGATTTAGTCCAAAAAGTGTTGCCTCTGTGGCATGATGGTCTAGCTATGTAGAAACATTTTTCCCTTCCATGTTTTATCATCTTGGGTTTTTTAACATGTCACAATTTTATGACCTGTTAGGATCAAGCTGCTCGAGACATGAAGAGACTTGAAGATAAAGACAAAGAAAAAAAGAATGTTAAGTAAGTTCTCTTTTATAATTCCCATACCTGCCTGTGTCTTGTATGGTGCTAAGAGAATTCCAATGCGTTTTGTTGATGATGATTTTCTGTAGACAATATAATATATACCTAGTAAACAGCATTAACCAGCACATGATATCCTCCATGGGTAAAGTTCGGTGCAATAAAAATTGAATAAAAGGAAGGGAGAATCCATGGCAGCATCCACGGTAAAATGTAACCGCACTGAGAGTTATCTCACACAAGAAGCCTTTCTAGGCCACGCAATTGGGGCAGCACATCTACTACCACCTTTCAGATCAGCCTGAATAATTTTTCTTCTTTCCACATCCTTGCAGTGATCAGGATGGTTTAGATTAAAATTGCATTTATGTGAGCAAAACAACTCAGTACTGCTGTAGCTGTAGTACTGGAGATTCTTCCAAACTTGAACCAGGTTTTAAGACATTCCCTGTAAAGCTGATGTATTAGGTAGCATGTGACAATTGGGATACCAAATTTGGAATTTAAACAGTTTACATATTGCAGCTTATCTGTCAGTTTTGACCAAGGAAAGTAACGCTGTTGATTCTTGATCTAAATGTCAGAGACATTGGTAGAACTTGCATTGTATGGGGTTGACCAGATTATACATGGTCCTGAAACAGAACACTGGATCCAAATCACCACCCAGGGAAGCTCTGAACTGGATTTGCACTTCCTGGCTCATATTCCTCTTCAGTTATGGGACTTCTGTAGCATCAAGAGCTTAGACCAGGATGATCTTTGATGTGGCTTCTACTGGGAAGACGGAGTCCTAATCTTTCAGTCTCATTAATACAAGTAAATAGAATTCAGAACAGGGTCACTGTTACGGTTGGCACCAAATATGGAAACTCCATGGGTTGGGATTATAAATGTTACTGAGTTGTTAGTGTTGTGTCTTCCACGAAATATGGAGCTCAGCACTAATCAAATGAAAGTATGGAGCTGAGTATGTGGAACACTTGCAGGGAAGTTTTTTTTCTCCGCTTGTTTTTCCAGGGGTATTCGAGATGACATTGAAGAGGAAGATGACCAAGTGAGTTCCTATGCAGTCTTTCTATTTTCTTTTTTTTTTTTCTTTTTTTTGTCTTCCCTCCTCAAATATTTATACTACTAGGTACAAACAAAACTCCAGTATCATGTGCAGTATCCGGACAATTCAGCAGGAAGCTGTAGCGGTTACCCTGCTGCCTCTACCCTTCTAGGTGTTTCACTAAAAAAAGGAAGAATATTAGGAGACAATTTCATTCTTTTTTACTCCATTTAAGAAGATATTTTTCAGACAATTTGAATTTCAACTTCCTGTACAGGTTTTTCAGTATTTGAGGGTCTCATCAAATTTGAAATTAGCAGAAACAACTAACATGGAGCACCAGTGAGAGGCTGTTAAACTGTGGAGGCTATTTGCAGTGAAATTTCTGTTAAGGGCAAGAATCAGGCTTTTTGGTGTTTATTTTCAGAGGAGCTCCCGTTCTTATTGAGGATTATAAGCATCACTGTAACAGAAACAATAAACAAAGACTTCATTTTGAAATGTACCTTACTACTAAGTTGTAATTAATAACTATTGTGTTACTCGCAGTAATGCAGAGCATGGCAGGGTTGTCTGGCCTTTAGGCTTTTGCTTCCAATTTGGTGAGTGTAGCTGTGCTAAAGTTTGAGCAAAGGTGACTTACGCTAGTAGATAGCTGTTGTTCAAGTGTATTGTATATGCATATTTATGTGATTAAGTGATAATTGGCTATGCAAATCAAAAAGCCACTTGAGTATATACATTTCTTTGTAAATGAACCTTACTTTAAAAATCTGTTCTTAAGTATTTGCCTGAAAGTCAACTGAGACTGGTGTTTTCTCCACAAGAATGTCTTGGTGTGCCAATGAGATTCTGTAAGACACGTACATATTTGTGAGCTGTAAGGATGGCATGTTACAGTGCTGACAGTGACTTCTAACCTGGGCTTGTGGTGAAGGATTCTTCTGGAATAGTTTCTTTCTTTCCCATTTGCTGTTGACTTTCTTAATGAAAAATAGATATATTTCATTTTCTTAGAGTCTAGTTAGGGAAAGTGGAGAAACTACCTTTGGCATAGTGTGTTTAAAAAAAATGTAAACATCACATGTTTAGTAACATTGTGTTCTTTGTTTAAAAACCTGCAGTGTTTGTACTTTGTTCATGTGATTCATAGATTCTTCTATTGTTAAAGCATAACATGTCTTGGTAGAAGGAGTTGTTAAGCAGACATGTAAGAGAAGAAGTTTGGTTTTTAAAAGCATCTTTGTGGTCTAACTGACACTGTAGTTGTTTTCTTCATTTGTATTTATTGTCCTTCTTCTGGACATAACTGTTGGTATTTATTAGAAGAACCAGTTCTAGTGGACTTTTTTTTCCTCAATGGTGGGTGTGAAAGCAAACAGCCATCTAGCATGTACACCATTTAAACAAATGTAGTAGTATTTTTGCATCCTCTTGTATGTGATTTTACTGATATGTTTTGCTGCAGGAAGCTTATTTTCGCTACATGGCTGAAAACCCCACTGCTGGTGTGGTCCAAGAAGAGGAAGAAGATAACCTGGAGTATGATAGTGATGGGAATCCAATTGCACCATCCAAAAAAATCATTGATCCTCTTCCACCTATTGACCATTCAGAGGTAGGAAGTTTATTCCATTCTGTTCTGTCTGAGGCGTTCTAGAAAGCAGGTGCTAAGAAGTAGATTGAAATATGGTTCTGTCCCTGTACATCAATATTGGCAGAAACTATTTCAGTGCTGTGCCACTTGAGTCCTACTAAAGATCCTTCACATGACTTCATATTAAACTAACGTTCTTGCAGATAATTAAGAACGTTTTCTCAAAAGGATCCTTCCTCTCCAAAACTAAGGGTACAGAGAGAGAATCTTGAGTCCTGGACTAACTGAGTAATTACCCCTTGCAGATTGAATATCCACCATTTGAGAAAAATTTCTATGATGAGCATGAGGAGATCACCAGTCTCACCCCACAGCAAGTGGTGGAGTTACGTCATAAGCTAAATCTCCGGGTAAGCTGGTCACAAAACTGTCCTCCTAGGATCTTCTTACTCCCGTTTATTTGGACTGTCTCAGTAGTTTTAATGAAAACTTTCACAGGAAACTCCAGCTTTTGAATACCAAGCCTCTTGGATACCTTCAGTGACTTTGATTCAAGGGAGTTTGGTTTTGCTCAGCCGTTCTTGAAAGTCTTTTCTGGACTTGTCAAAGCGGGCACCCGGGATTGCCAGTTGCATGGTTGCACTTGGACTAAAGAACTAGGAATCGAAACTCGAAATATTATATGCAAGAATTACTTCTTTGCCATTTGTGACATATTAGTGTGTGCCTTTCTGTGAAGGGAATTATTTGGGGAAGAAGGAGACTAATTATAGAAGGAGGTAGATACGATGTTTAGTAGCTTATGTTGATCGCCAGTTTATCTAAATTTTTATACCTGAAAGTCCTATTTACACAGCACATCTGGAATTTTCACCTAGTTAAACTTCTGTCTATTCAAAAAATAAAAAGCCAGTTTTGGAGGTAGAGACACTTTTTTTTCATTTTTGTACAGCTCTCTCTCTGTTTTTCTCTTACTGTTCATGAACAAAGGTATGTTTCTGTTTCTAAGGTCTCCGGTGCTGCTCCTCCAAGGCCTGGCAGTAGTTTTGCTCATTTTGGGTTTGATGAGCAACTTATGCATCAAATTAGGAAATCCGAGTATACCCAGCCCACTCCTATACAATGTCAGGTGAGTGTCATTACTTCTTTAACATCAAAATGGAACTAATAGAACATGTGCGAAGGTCCCTAATCCATGTGAGGATGTATACAATTCTAGTTTCCTATATAGAGCTGTGACAGAGAAGAATATTTTGTATTTTTCTAGGAAAGTAGCTTTGATATTTTTTTATATAGAAGTTTACCCACTTTTTTTCTTGTTAAATGACCACTGTAAATATATCCATATTCTTTTCTTCATTTGTCTCTTGGTGAAGACTGAAAAACATGCAAGTGGCATCTCTTGCTTATAGAAATGCATGAAAGATTGGTTTGTTTGGGTTTTTTTAGAAATTGTATTAAAAATAACCATAGCAGTAGCTGAGTAGAGTGACATATATTGACACCCTTGTTCCTTTAAACAGCTTATATTTGAAAGTCTTGTAACTAGAAGAGGTATGCAACCAGGCATTTTTTTTAATTTCTTTTGGGAGTTAGAATAAATGCGCTATGAGCTGGACCATTTAACTGGTCATTCCTTGGAGAGCCATGCCTGCAAAAGGGATTCTACTGCATGTAAATTGATTACTATAAGTAATTAAGGTTATCATTAATGTGATTATAACCAAGAAAAGTATCTGAAGTGGTGTGAAGTATAAAAGATGACATGGTGCTGTGTCCAAGGGATGTGTATTAGGACCTTAGTCCATACTATTTGTAAAAACCTGTGGTTGAGAGGTCCTTATAGCAACAGTAGGGATGAACTGAGGGCTTCAGCACTCAGAGTGGTTGCAGAAAGAATAGGCTCTGAGAATTTGTTTTTAGCATTCTTACAGCTGGACAAGATGTTCCACAAGATTTGTGGAACAGTAAATACATCCTTGGGATGTTGTACTGTGCCCAAACATTGATTTCATATAGGACACCAACAGTCATAAAATGGTCATTGCTTCCAGCCCTTAAAACAAACCAATTCAGATCTGAACTTGGCAATAAATGTGTAAGCATCGACATATGTTGCTATGAGTCCTCTGTAATGTGCTTTTCTCTTGTTATCTGAGTTTTTGTGTAATAATCTAGCACAAGAATATGCTAAGGTAGGCATAATATGGGTTTAGAATCTCCTTATTTTTAGGGTGTTCCAGTTGCACTAAGTGGCAGAGATATGATTGGGATAGCTAAGACGGGAAGCGGAAAAACAGCAGCCTTCATCTGGCCGATGTTGATTCACATCATGGATCAAAAGGAGCTTGAACCAGGGGATGGTCCCATTGCAGTGATCGTATGCCCAACCAGAGAGCTTTGCCAACAGGTAAGTGTATAGTAAGCATATATGTGCCATACAGTGTTCTTATAGAAGATGACAAAATTCTGGGCAGAAATTATTTGAGAAACTATTTCAAAAAAAACCGCTGTGCATTAGTAACATGCCTCCAATGTAAGCTCACAATTCTCTCTTATACCTCTTTTTGTTGAAGCATCATGACAAATCTGCAATTGTAAATTTTTGCACAGTGCTCCCATATTATTTCTAAGTATTAAGAATACTGCGGATGCATTGCCACAAATTGTGTGTGTAAAAGGACAGAGCCTGCAGGTTAAATTATGGTGGATGCCTAAATAGGTTTCTCAAATTACTGGAAATTATCCACAGTATTGAAGTCTGCAGCCTTGAGGATTTCTGAATAATTTCATTAAGTTATTAGTGGAAGAGTGGATTTCAGGAGCTGGACTGTATTTTCAAGGTAGGTATGTTTTCTCAGATCTGTCTAACGTGAACTGTGATGTGCTTTGTTTAAAATTCTCAGATCCATTCTGAATGTAAGCGCTTTGGTAAGGCATATAATCTGCGCTCTGTAGCTGTGTATGGAGGAGGAAGCATGTGGGAGCAAGCCAAAGCCCTCCAGGAGGGGGCAGAGATAGTTGTCTGCACACCAGTAAGTACCTGTATGCACACAGTACAATTTCTTGTTGCTTAACTGAAGCCAAGACAGATTTTTAATACCATTGGTGATGCAGAATTTGTTCTCTTGATCTCTGAAATCTAGCTTCTTCACAGGTTATCAGGTGTTGAGAGCAAATATGCTGGGGTTATTTGTGTTCCAAGAGAAATTGAAAGAGATTAGGTGTGATTTCCAATAGAAGACAGAGGAGCAAGCAAGATCTGCTTGAATCGGTGTCAGTTGTATGCAGCACCAGCTTCTGATTGCCAAGCCTTAAATTCATGAAGAGAATTCCCAGAATGTCATGAACTTGAGTGCCATCTTCCTGAATCAGTATAGAGCCCGTGGCAGTAATACTGAAAGGTTGAAACATTGAATCAGAATGGGTATTGATGCTGAACCAGTGATGTAAATGAGCACCTTTGTCAACTGGCTCTGCGTATTGCAAAAACTGGTTAGGAACTGAAGCAAAACTGAGCAACTGATGGTTGGAGGAGGTTTTATTGTGGCTATTTATTGGGGTACTAGGCAAGAAAAAGTGTGACAAACTCCCTTGCCAAAAACTGTGGGATTAAGTAGCCAGTTCATATTTAAAACGTAATTTTAATGAAGACTGGAGAATTTTAGGATTTCTGATATCTTAACGTTGGAAAAACAGTCCTAAAATTCAGCTTGTCAAGCATAGTTGAGGAGAGTTTTAGGAATCTGTTTCTATGACTTGAATATTGACACTCGTTTCTAGGCTGAAGCCTTGAGATGTTTTCTGTTCTAAGTCTCTGGTAAGTGAGGATAAAAAGCAGTTAAGTGCTTGAAGGTTGCATATATTAGCATTTTTTAAAATATGCTTTAAAAACTTGGCCTTTTTTTTTTTAATAGGGTCGTTTGATTGATCATGTGAAAAAGAAAGCTACAAACCTTCAAAGAGTCACTTACCTTGTGTTTGATGAAGCTGACAGAATGTTTGATATGGGTTTTGGTATGTAATGAACAAAGGTCACTGTTTTGGAAAGCAGTGGTGTTCAGTTCCCAGCTTAGTAGGGCTATTTTTAAGCTCTGTAGCTTCATATACTTGGAAATACATTAAGGAAATATTTTATAGACAATATGGACATATTTAAAGGCCTAATATCTGGTGATATAAAGAGATCAATGACATTCGGTTGATGTTGAAGTCCAAAACCGCTGACTTTTATCTTAGAATTGCTGAGTAACTTTTGGGCAAGTCACTTCAGTGCTTTGATTCTGTGTGTACAAACTAGTGGTGTTAAAAGAACTTTCTACTTTATTGGAAGAGGTTTGATCATTCAGATCTGGATGATTTTCAATTTGTACTCAAGAATCACGGGACATAGCAAAGATTTGACAGTACTGTAATATTGGAAATGGAGGGAGACACTTGTAAGATGTACAGGGTATGCACAGACTTGGCTAGAATCTTTGTTTATGGAACTTCTTGCTGAAGGAACTTCCAGAATTTTCTTTGTACAGCAAAGGAACTTCCATTGTGCAGCAAAGAGCAGCTGGAAGTCACAGTGTAATTAAATACTGAGTGAGAGGCACTCATTCACTCTATGGTTATTTGTTAAATGGAGCAGTGAGCTTGTATTTTGAATTATTCTACTAAATAATGAGCATATGATCTTGATTAGAACATTTTCCCTCTCCTTTCCAGAATATCAGGTTAGATCAATTGCAAGCCATGTACGTCCAGACAGACAGAGTAAGTATAAGCATGTTTCAGACTAAACTGAGAGTCGAAGGAGGGTATACAGTGGGCTACCCATTAAGAGTCTGGAACAGAGCTTGGATTTCCTGTTCTTGACGCAGCTGCGCAATGAGACTTTTGCAAAAGTCCACTAGTGTTATTCTCAGTGTAGGCTGTTGGGAGGGAGCGCTTGTGAAGTGTGGGCATTTAACCACGCTGTTCATCAGTCTGTAATCCCTCCACAGACTTTACTCAGGGAAAAGATGATTAGCTGAATTAATGTTCATATGCTTTGAGATCCTCTGTTCTAAGCTGCCATGAAAGAACGTTCTCAGCAGTGCCACATATTATCAACATCTTATTTCAGATACCATGAAATGTGTTTCCACTTTGAGGTATTCTACTTGTGTCATTGATAATTTTCATTAGAACTGATAAAACAGACCAGTCATCACTGACATCTAATACAGTTGTACAGGTCCTCATTTACAAGATCTGTGCAGTTTTCTGAAAGAAAGTTTATTTTTCAAGGAGTTCAAATACTGTTCTTCTTTTAGCCCTCTTGTTCAGTGCCACGTTCCGTAAGAAGATTGAGAAATTGGCCCGAGATATTCTGATCGACCCAATTCGAGTTGTGCAGGGAGACATTGGAGAGGTAATTCCACATTACTGCTGAGACAATCAGAGAAATGAACCATTCTGTTTCTGTTGTCTGAAATTTATGGTAAAGTGCTGTAGTCATTTATATTTGAGAGTAACTACTTCGTGCTTAACAAAAATTGTAAGTGGTTTGGTTTTTTTCTTTTAATTTTATTGAGCTTTCTTTCTGCCAACAAATATTCTTACAGTGACGGGAGATTTCATCAAGGAGTGAAACAACATTAATGCAGTGCTTGATTTTATTATTTTTTTATTAAGCTGAATCAATGGGTATATTCTTTTGTTTTGTTTCAAAACTCTAAATTACAGCTTTGGCAATGAAGGACTTGAAATTTAGGGGGTAATGTCTTTCAGCTGGTTTATGTAGGAATGTTCATTCTATACTTGCTTGACTGTAGCAGCTGAACTGTTAGCAGACTAGGGATTTGGTAATAAGTCAAGGAAGTGGGCAGATTATGTTTGCTGTGAAGAAATTTACTTATATGAAAACTGTCAAGAAGTTTCACAAGATGCCTTCAGAACATTCTTCTTTTAACCAGTTCTCTGCATTTTTAATTTTTTTCAATCAGGAATGTGAGATACCTCTTTATAACAAAAAATTAAACAGCGCTTAAGAAGCAGCTTTCCTAGCTCAATCACATGTTTTCTTTTCTTTGATCTAAATTATTACTCTGAGAGCATCATCCTTGAAATAATTAATACTTCAGTGTGTAAAAATTAAATCTTTCAGAGAAACTTCCAGATAGTGGGAAGTAGTGCAGTAGAGCTCACAGCTCTACTGCACTTTCGTTACTTGCAATATGGAGTGTATAGGGAGTCTGTTTATACCTCCCCTCTTCCTGACTCTGAGGACAAGTCACAGCCCACAGGAGTACTTTCTCTGATCGCCGTATGAGTAACTTTTACTGATGAGCATCCTCTCCATCTCAGGCCTGTTCTTGCACAGCCTATTTTAGACGTTAATAGCATCTGTTGCAAGAGATCTAAATTGCAAGTACCCATCTTTAGATCAGTAGGGTGCTAAACTGCATCATGTCAAAGACTGCACTTTACCTCTCAGGTTTAGCAAAGAATAGTTTGTTTAACCCTTGCCTTTTCCACACTGTGAAAATGACGTGGTCAGCGTTTAGTTAGACAAGAGCTGAAACGTCTTTTAAAGGAGCATTTTGGTCCCCGGCTTCTCCTTCTTTTTATTCTCACACCTAGTTTAAATTCCTGGGTTTATTCTGCCATCTGTGCATGTTTTCCATGCTGTCATTTCTAGCCTGTGTTATTGCTTGTCTTTATTTCTCCCCTTAGGCAAATGAAGACGTTACTCAAATTGTGGAGATTTTCCCCTCTGGCCCTAGCAAATGGAACTGGCTGACTCGACGCCTTGTGGAGTTCACATCTTCTGGGAGTGTTCTCCTGTTTGTCACCAAGAAGGCAAATGCAGAAGAGCTGGCCAATAACCTTAAGCAGGAGGATCATAATCTGGGACTGCTTCATGGTGACATGGACCAGAGTGAGAGGAATAAAGTCATTTCAGAATTTAAGAAAAAGGGGATCCCGATCCTAGTAGCTACTGATGTGGCAGGTATGTGATGTTCTAAGAAACAGCAGCTCATACAAGTTGTGGATATCAGTGGAAAGGCTAACACATTTCAGTGGAAGGCAGCAAGGTTGGCTTCCGTACCTGCTGGGCACTGTGTTCCGGATGTTTTTCAGAAGCACACAGTGTTAGCAAGGGATTTTATTTTAAAGTCTTCTGATGATGTTTAAATTACAGTCTGACAGATATTTTTTAATATACAGAAAAAAAAAATCTATTTCTTAAGGAAGTAGTTGTTCGTTGTTAATCAGCTGACACATTATGCATGCTTAAATGAAGAGGAAATGGACACACTTGAAGCCTTGTCTAGAACAGCTTTCGTACCCAGATGTTTAACTGAACAAAAAATGAATTTCAGTATCCTTTAATAAAGCCCTCTCTCTTCCTTGGAATTAACAATCATTTAAAGAGATCTCTTCCATCTTCAATCCTGTGAACCTGGGGATCGGTATAACTTATACTACTCTTGGAGAAGATATTGCTAGACTTAAGGTAACAAAGAGTTCTAGCCTATGAAGGGTGTCTTAACCGGGGTGTGGTCCTGTGGAAACTCCCTTCGTATGCTGGAGCAGAATGAAGTGATATGCTTGTATGAACAGGATTGCTTTGAATTCATTCAGGATAATCATGCTTACCACTATATTGTTCTTTATTACAGCTCGTGGGTTAGATATTCCTTCCATTAAGACTGTCATCAATTATGATGTGGCTCGAGACATAGATACGCACACCCATAGAATTGGTCGTACTGGCAGAGCAGGCGAGAAGGGAGTTGCCTACACTCTGCTGACTCCCAAAGACAGTAACTTCGCTGGTGATCTTGTCAGAAATCTGGAAGGCGCTAATCAACATGTTTCCAAAGAGCTGTTGGATCTAGCAATGCAGGTACAAAGAAGCAAAACTCCTTGAGTAGAGGAAGGTTCCTGCCATGATTAGCACAAAATCAGGAGCTCTAGGACTTGTTTCTGGCTCCATCATATGTTCGCAGTGACCTTTTGGCAACCTGTACTGTTTTTAAGTAGGGTTTCTAGTGGTTTTTATGGCCTTGGAAAGAATCCAGGAAGACGTGTAAATTTTGGAACACAGTATGTAATCTGTTTTGGGGTCAGACACTGCCTAGGAAATTAGGAACTGTAATCTGTGTGATGGCAGCAGAGTACTCCAGCTCCACTATCTCATTACAGTTGGATTTTTGATAGGCATTTATGGCAGGCACCTGGGAAATACAGCTTAGCTGAAAGCTGAACTAGAAAACAATTACAGGGATGTGCATTCTGTGAAACGGTTGTTGCATGATCATTATACCTGCTTGGCAGTGCTGTCTGGCAGGCTTGCTATATATAGGTATGACAAATAGCTGAAGCAATTGTGCTTGTGCCACTGTACTCCTCAGCTCTGTAAGTTCTTGTCTTTTGCTGCCCATGTAGCGGCAAGAGAGTAAAGGCTTTTTGGTAATTCCTAAATTCAGAGATGGATTAGCATGCTTCTGGCTTCATTGCCAAGCAGCTTGGGCACTAGAGGCACTTACTAGAAGTATTTTTTCCAAGGTACAGAGGCAACATTTTCAGAAGGGACACAATTTGTGAGGCAGAGCTCCACAGGCTGCCTTTGAGAGGAAGAGTATAGAAGCTAAATGGCTTGGCTTATTGGCTTCTTCGGGTTTGAAGAAACTATAGGGCATAAAAAGAGGTGCAGCCAACCATTATTTAAAAACCTGGTAAGAGGAGGATGTCTGGTTGGACTGCCCTTTCCTGGCCACTGCTTGTTGCAGGAAGTATTGCTGACAGGACCTCATTTCTCCGTAGCTGGGCAGTGGGCTAAATCAATAAAACCCTAGTATGAGCAAGTGCAGAGCTCCCAAATGAATGGCATTAGAGATTGCATTTATTCCTGGGTTTATCAGAATGCAAACCCCAAAAATTTAACGTGGATGAAAGTTCAGGGGGAAAAAAATTAGTTTTCATAAAAAGCATTTGTTAAAAAAAGCTTCAGACCCACATGACAGAACTGTCTACAGTTTAGTTCCAAAGCGCTGTAGTCTGGCATGTCGCATCCCCTTGCAACAGCTGTGTTGTTGAATGGGAAACATTCTGTTTTCATTTTTCTTTTGAAATGCTGAAAATCCTCCTTTTCTGAGTCTTATTACATGCATTTATGAAGCTTCTTATTCCCTGTATTGAGAAGAATTTATCCTTCTTTTGTACAGAATCCATGGTTCCGGAAATCACGTTTCAAAGGAGGAAAAGGCAAGAAGCTGAATATTGGTGGTGGTGGCTTAGGATACCGTGAACGTCCTGGTCTGGGATCAGAAAATTCTGTAAGTAGAGATGCTGAGGAAGTGGTTTACAGATGCTTGGAACTTTTAAACTTAGTATTGACCACTCTTTAATTTAGAAAATCTTCTTGGTTCTGGAGTATAGCCTCTTCTTTCAAAGGTTTTTATATCTCAGAATCTTTCAGCACTAGTATCAGAAATACCTCAAGTGAAACTGGCCCATGCTGTTATCCTCTTGTCAAGAGCTGCCGCCTTTAGAGCCAAAGTGATCCAGAAGGTTTGGACATTCTTCGCAAATTGACTGTCAATGCAAAATAAATACTAATAAATTGCTTGAAAAGCCCTTTCCAGGCTGATGCTTGGCAACAAAAAAATCTTGCAGCATTGGGAATACTTACTAAGGTATGTCCATGCTAGGAAACAGCTTATTGCCAATGTGTATGGGGACAGAGTTTAACTGTAGACATTGAAAGCACATCAGGGTCAGCATCTTTGCAAAAGTCACAGCTGAAGCCTTTTTCACACTTGGTCCTGGCTGTGACCTCTGTGAAAATCTCCATTTGATTGCATTTTGCTTTTGCTTCTACTCTAAGGAGCTGGGAAACGTAGTTACACTGTTTCCTAGTGAGTCACTAGGACTTAATGCATTTTCACTTTTCTGTCATCCTCAAGGTCATGGGGCAAACTGTTCTGCTGCTCAGTGCTCTCCAGAAGTTTGTCATCCTTAGTAGATGTCTTTCCAGGGCCAAGATAGATTTGGCGAACGGTTGAATTGAAACTGTCTGTGTTGGATAAATCTCTCCAGTTGTCCTTTGTCTTTTTGCACAGGACCGTGGAAACAACAACAGTGTGATGAGTAACTATGAGGCATACAAGCCATCCACTGGGGCAATGGGAGACAGACTTACGGCAATGAAAGCAGCTTTTCAGGTTGGTTTGATCACTTGTACTCCAAGTTCTAACTCAAGAAGAAAGGACATAACATGGAAAAGCTTTACTGCTGATGATTCAAGACAATTTTTGCACAGGACCGTGGAAACAACAACAGTGTGATGAGTAACTATGAGGCATACAAGCCATCCACTGGGGCAATGGGAGACAGACTTACGGCAATGAAAGCAGCTTTTCAGGTTGGTTTGATCACTTGTACTCCAAGTTCTAACTCAAGAAGAAAGGACATAACATGGAAAAGCTTTACTGCTGATGATTCAAGACAATTTCCACTCCCCCCCCCCCCCCCCGCCTCAAATGCAGAAACCCTGTTGAGTTTGGTGGTTGTGGCCATGTCTCATCTACTTGGAGCACCCACTCAGCCTTGCAGTCCAAAGTGGTAGAATTAGTATGCAGGCTGGACTGAACATGTTTGCGCAAAGTTAATTTGCCAAACTCACTTGTTTCCTGCTGCCTGTTTGCTTTCTCTCCCTTCTGGATTCTGCTTCTAGGCTTGATACTATTTAGGTTGCTTAGCAGCAATAGTGTAATTGCAACCCAAAGAAATGGGGAACAGAGAAACCCTTTCTCTTCAGTGTAAAAATTAACCCCATAATATAGGAGTTCCCTTGTTTCTGTAGTCTGGTAGCAGATGTCCGTTACTAATTCTATGTTCGTAAGCACAGCAGGAACATAATCCCTCCAAGACTGACTTTTTACAGGAACTCTTTTTTCCTAGGGGTTCCCCAGAATTCAAGACAGGCTTGTGTATGCGTGATAACTGCGTGTTTTGTGGGGCAGGTAGAGCCAAACATGCTCTCTTTTTTTTTCTTTCTGTCTCTTTCCGGCAGTCCCAGTACAAGAGCCACTTTGTTGCTGCAAGCTTAAATAATCAAAAGACTGGTAGCTCTGCTGCTGGTGCCAGTGGCTGGACCAGCGCTGGGAGCTTGAACTCAGTACCAACAAGTTCAGCACAGCAAAATGCTGCAAATCCTGACAGCCCAATTGCAGCCGCCGCAGCAGCAAAGGGTGTTCCAGGCTTCACCAGCACAGGGAATTTGAGTAGCGTTCCCACCTTTCCAAGTGTCGGAGTACAGGGCTTCAACAACACAAATGCCAGCACCAACAGTCGAGAAGGCAGCAGCAGCACTAGCGTTGCCGCTACTGGCAGCGGCGGCGGTGGTGGTGGCGGCGGCGGCAGCAGCGGTGGTGGCGGCAGTAGCAGTGGTGGTGGCAGCATTGTCAGAGAACGGTACGACAACCGGAACAGTCGCCACAATGAGGTCCCACGCCGTGGAGAGGGTGGTGGTCGATACAATGATGTGCAACGCCATGGAGAAGGAGGCGGTCGCCACAGTGACGCTTACCGCCACGGAGAAGGCCGACATGGCGACAACCATCGCCATGGTGAAAACCGGCACTTCGCTGATGTGGGCAGTGGCAATCGCAACAACGGTGATAGCAGGAATAGCAATGAAGGTAGGAACAACGAGAACAGGAATGGTGAGAACAGGAAGGATGCCAACAACCGAGACAACAAGACAGATGGTTTTGCTGTCCCAGAGCCCCCAAAACGTAAGAAGAGCCGGTGGGACAGTTAAAAGCTGGTGTTTCACAGCCTGGAATCTCTGCAGGTAGTGTTGTCTTTTTCCAGAGGATTTCTTGGGGTTTTTGGTAACTGGTTGTTGAGCACCTGGGGGAGGAGAAGGAAACCATGCAAACTCCCCATGCAAGTCTGGGCTGGTACATCTGCGGACAGATTTACTCTAATAATATGTACACACAATGCTTAGTCAAAGAGAAATCATTTTGATAAAGCTCCCTGGGCTCTGCTTTTAAACATTCAGTGCTCAAGTGACTCTCTGCTGGATTTAAATGATCTTCTTGACAAGAAAGAAGCTGTTTCACATCCTTGGAACATTAAGAAACTTGTCCATAGAAGTATAAAGTAGTCTTTTCTTAACCAGCGTTCACATTTAAAAAAGCAGTCAATCTAGAGATGCTCAGGACCCACCAGTTAAACATCAGTCTTTCAGCAATTTGTTCAGTATGGCAAGTTCTTCCCCAATCTCTTCACATATTCTCTTATCCCCAAATGATTTGGCCTCCAGGTTGCCCCTTACATCTCTCCCCATCAACTAGGATTGTATCAGTTTGCATTGCTGAAGGTGGGGTGAAGCAAGTTGATTTTTCTTCTTTTTTTTTTTTTTTTTTTTTATGAAGCTGTTCAAGGGATCCTTTTCCAGCCCAGCTAACCACAAATTCACATGTTAGTGTAGAATGGACTCCCTGGCTTGTTTGTGGTCAGTATATCAATCCCAATCCCATTGCCCAGGTATTTTTTTTCTTTTAAAGAATCTCTTCTTTCCTAATAACCTTCATTTTGGTGGAAGCCTGCATAGCAAACTTGTATCTCTGCTGTGCCTATGCACCCTCTGTTAAGAGAGGGTTGAGTGCTTTCTTCAAATTAAAAGCAAAAAAGGGAAAAAATGTAGATATGCCACAGCCATCAAAGGCTGGTGCCCCCCCCATGAAGCGTAGTTAAATGAAGAGGCTTCATTCAGAAATTCAGGGACCTGCTGCTCAGAAGCCTTTAGGGAGAACCTGAAAAGCGATTGATTAAGTGGAACAGCTCAAATATCACCCCATAATGGACACATGTAGTTAAAACTGTAAAATCTTGCTTGACCGTTTTTAACGCGTTGTGTGTATTATCTGTTTTATAACTTTTTTTTTTTTTTTTTTGCGCCATAAAGGTAAGGAAGAACTCTTTTGTTGAAACATGTCAGCACCCACCTCTGTCTTGTTTCTACTGAAAGAAGTATCAGAAACTGTCAGGTTTTTGTGACATTGTGATGTTTTCTTTATCAGCTGTGCATTTACTTTCTGCTTGCTCTAGTAAATGTTTTATTACTGGGACAAAAATACCTAGCATGTGCTTTTTATTCTCCACTTCTTCCTTTAGCTGTGCTGGTATGTGGATAGAGATTTGACTGTGTCCCTTTCTTTCACCAGAAGTTGTGTATTGTAGTTGATAAAAAACTTCTTGTGTTTTTTCTCAATATCTTTCATCCCAAACTGTTTCGCAAAACGTATTTTACCTTCAAAGTCTCCTGGGAAATAGATTTTTCTCTATTTTACATGTGAGAAGTACAGCCCAGGACATGTTGCTCATCCCAGCCTTTCATGGGGTCATTGGTTGACCTGGAAAGAAATTGTTGACTCAGCAACAGTCTTGTGATCTGACTTGCACATGTACTGGTTTCAGTTAAGACACTGACTTCATTTGGGCCCCCTCACTAAGTAGCTCTAATCTGTTGGGTTGTGTGTTTGTGTGTTTTTTAAAAACAGCTTCCACTTGAATTCTCTCATCATGATCTAGGCAGAAACCTCATTGCGCTGGTTTGAGCTCCACATATTTAGTGTTAAGACAAGTATGTTCCAGGGCAGATGTGGCAAGGGTGTAGAAGCTGTTGCATTCCCCTTTCCTTAGCACACGTAAGGTTTATCACTCTGCACAATTAAAGATTTGAGTTAAAAAATAAAAATAGCTCCGTAGTCTGAAGCTGCCATCTGCTCCCTCCCTTGCTGGATCTCGGCTTGCTGCCACTGGCAACTGACCCTGTATGTGGCTTATTGCTTGGGTTTCTCCCCTTCTTTTTAATGCATCCCTCTGCTGTTCAGTAGGATTATTGAAATTCCTCACCCTTCTCTCAGCTGCCAGGAGCCTCTTGAGACCTGAATGAGTAAATATTGATTGCTGACAGAGCCCTATAAATGTCAGTTCACAGGTCTGTGTTAGATACATAAGAGGGTTGATTCCATCTCCACAGAACAAGGTAGCAGTGTGAGCACCGTGCCAACTACCCTGAAAGAGAATCTCTCTCCTTGCAGTGGCAGGCTGTGCTGCTTTCTTCTAAAGAGACCGGAGCACAACTCACAGCTGAGCGACTCAATTGCAGGAAGCTTGGGTTTGTAAAGTGCAGTCCTCGGATTCTGCTCCTGCCTCTGTGCCTGCCCATCGGTTACCCCCTCTGCCTTATCCACCCAAGGGGGACAAATGCTGCCACCAGCCAGCTGTGCCTCTTCCACATCCTACAGCGCTTGCTTTCTTGGGTGGGAGGTGGTGCAGATCTGCCTGACTCTGCACCTTCTTCTGGACCATTTAAAGAATGTGAATCCTGGAGCCCTTCCCTTCCCTGAAGTGCTTCCTGGCCTTCTGGCTGGCTGTCCCTCCAGTGCTTTCTAATCCTTGTGACTCCCTTTGTATCTTAGCTTCTCACTGGAAGATCTGTAAATGCACAGAATTATTTACCTGTTCACTGTCTTTATCATGAAACGTCTGCCTTGAGGGACTGTGTCTCATTAGAGCAGTCTCCATGCTACCACCAACATGCTGTTTAATTTTAACTGGTGTATATACCCCCTCTCCCAACGACGTGGTAATTCTCCCCTCCCCTGTGGTCTGGCTGAATTGTCTGGGCTGAGCATTGCAGGCTCTTTGGGAATGCCTTTTCCCATCAGGGTGATGAGCTTTCCCAGGCAGCGCACGTGTAGCAGAGATGGCGGGGGAAGTCGGGGCTGCCTCGTCCCCAACAGCAAGCACCGAGAGTAGAGCTGGCGTGAAGGTGACTGGGTTTCCAGCCCTTCACAGCCTCTGCTGCCCTCCAGCAACCCATCGCTGTGCGTAACACCACTGGGTCCGCAACGGAGTTCAAGGGTGGAAACGAGCTGTATAGACCGTCTCTTTATTCACTTTTTAGCCTGCAAAAAGATTACAGGGCCAAGGCTCGTGCATGCAGTGGCCTGTGCGTTTATGGAAACTGCGCTGTAAAGCATGGGGGACCCAGGCATTTTGCTGCACCCTTCCCAAAGCTTGGCCTGCCTCCCTGAGCCCATCATTTCCCAGTGGCTCATGCTCCCTGTTTGTGGCTGGGCTTCGCAGTATCTGTGAGTTGCACAAGGATGCAAGGACGGGGTGAGCTGCAGAATAGCCCTGCACTCTGCCAGCCCCGGGCTGTACCACGCGGGAATTGGGCTTCAGGACTATGGGCTCACTGAATCGGCTTTATATACGCTGGAGCTGAAGTCACTTTCCAGACTGTCGAGGTAAGATGGAGCCTGTAGGATTGTTTCCTGGTGATGTCATTTGAGGCTTTGCATGCACAGACATGGCTTACATCGATCGCTTGTGTGAGGAAGGAAATGAGGTTTTGAACTGGCCGCTCGTTTTCAGACCAGGCAGGTAGAAGCAGCCAGAGCATGTGGTCCCTTTGCACACTGGCTGTGAGGGAAAGGGAACGGTGTTGTTCCAGCTGCTATCCCCTACCCTGCCTCTCCGTGCAAGCATAAAAGGAGCCCAAAGCGTGAGGATCAGCATCTTTCCAGGCACAGCTGGATGTCCAGATGGGAGAGACACAATCCAGTTCAGAGCATCGTCTCCAGCTCCTTGTTTAGGTTGGGGTGCCGCTGATTCAGGTCCATTACATCCACTGTGTTTTCCCCACAGGCTTTCTGGCTCATCTCCTGGGTCGGACAAGGCAAAAAGTTATCCGAGGTGAAGGAGCTGGGGATGTAGCCCGGCAGGCTGGCACAGGCAGGGAGCATTTTTTTCCCCTCGGCCTGTGAGGCTTGTGCTGAAGCTCGTGGTGGCATGGGAGGCCAGCCCTCCATAGTAGCAGCTCCCAGCCGCGCTGGTGGCACGCGCTTTCTGCCTCAAGTCCAGCACCAGGCTTCTCCGAAAATGGGCTTTCTTAATCTCTGCCTGCACCTGAAGGAGAGATTGGAGTCGGCTGCTGGTGTCCAGAGACAGCAAAGCAGACATCCCTTCCCCATGGTTTTCACTCCTACTGATGTTTCTTTTTCTCTTTCCAAATCCTACTGAGAGGGACGGATCCAAGTTTTCCCTCTGGTTATCCCAGCCTGGGGGCTGCAGGTTAACTTCCCCAACCCTAAAGGGGCTGTAACAGGGAGCTCAGCTGCTCACGCTTCTAACTTACCTCCCCATTGCAAAAGCAGTAGATAAAAGCCACAAAGAAACCCTGCCAAAAAGAGACAGAGGTGGAGTTTGAGTCCTGAGCCGGGACGCTGTACGTGTGTCTCCACCCTCCCCGGCCGAGCATCGCTCGGTGTCCAGAGCAGGGCCAGCAGCCCCATGGTGACGTACCTGAGAGGAGTTAAAGAGCATCTCGTAATGCATCTGGATTTGCCACAGGACGCCAGAGACTTCAGTGTAGGGCATGGCCATGAACACCACATAATGGACTCCGAAAAGCGGCATCAGCACCAGCGTGGACTTCAGCAGCTTCCTGAGAGGAGAAATGCTCCGAGCCGTTAGCCGGGCCCTGCCAGCCAGCCTGCAGCCCGCTTGCAGATGTTGGAAAGCGTCCCAGCGAAGAGGGCAGCCACTTCAGCCGCCGCCGCAGCTGGTTTGTGTGTAGCTATTGCATGCTGTCCAGCTTGAGGAAGGGCGCAGAAGGGTTCAGAGCTTGAACTCCTGAGCCTGCTCTTTCAGGTGAACTGGGCTGCCAGAAGTGCTGGCTGCCACTGTCCGGCCACCTTCCCTCGCTCCTGCAGCCGTTCCCGTGCCCCTGCTCTTTATTCACAACCTCTGGGGAGCCGTCTCAGCTAAACAGGCAGAAAATGAGCAGACCAAGGCTGGGGCCTGGTTTTGGTGCTGCCAGTACTTGCCTGTACTGCTGTCGGGGGTCCAGCTTCCCTGTGTTTGTCTCCCAGAGCTTGGAGGCCAGCACCCGGACAATGTTGAGGAAGAGGAAGAAGTTCACCTGCCGACAGACATGCGCCACGGTGTTGCTGCCCGCGGTGAATGGCCTGCCCGAGCAGGCCCCCGGGCCAAGGACAGGCAGTTCTGGGTGAGCTGCAGGCAGGGACGTGCGGGTGATGCTGTGGTCAGAGCGGGGAGGGACCAGTGCCCCTGGATCCCTTTGCATCACGTGGGCCCTCCCTGGCGGCTGGGGACCAACCCCAGTGACCACAGGCGAATGGCTCTGGGTCTGTATCGATCCCCTTTAACCAAAACACGTTGGGAGATTCAGCCATGGGATTCTTACCACGATGGCGGCCAAGATGGGGACCTGATAAATCCACTTCATGTTCCCTGCGCTGAGGTCCCAGCACCTGAAGAGACCAGTAAAGAAACACCTTGGAAAAGCCTGAAATCACTGGTAAGGAAAATTGCCGGCTGATGGCTCCCTGTGCCCCGAGCCACTGTCCCCATCCTCCCACCCCTCACCAACCCTGGGTGAGAAGTTTGTGGAGTTTGTGTAAACCTTGACCCAACAGCAGCTGTGCTACAAGCATCCTTAACCATCACGGTGTTGCAAATCAGTTTTAAATTAGCATTAACCTTCCTGAGAGCTCCTTTGCCATCTAAAACTCTTGCTGTACATTATGTGGCTTTTCTCATTTTAAATGCTTAACTTTAGAACATGTCCTTTAGCATTTATCTTTGCACTGTTTATTGATCAATTTATAGTGTAAACCTGCATTCAGCTTCCTCCCAAATGCAGAACATCCACTATTGGTCTAGATTACTGACAATTTTAGGAACAAGCCTTATAACATCTCTTGAAGCCTCTTGTTCTTTTTGGCAAATTTTCATTTTTCAAAGTTGTAGTGGCCACAGATTTTTTTTTTTTTTTTGCTAGCATTTGCAACTAGTCTTTCCCTCCCCAAAGGACTGTCAGGGAAGGTGGACCTACGTACTGTGTATCTGCCAGGGAAGCCCTGACACTGGCCCAGACAGACACAAACACAGCGGGGAGACCTGGAGGGACAGGAACGGAGCATGGGTGAAGCATCACGTTTGCAGACCAAACCAATTCCTGGCAGCTCGTCTGCATCCCACTGCCCTTATCTGGGCACTCAGAGCCGCTCAACCACGGCTGATGCCGCAGCTCCCAGCTGGCCTCAGCAGCCGCAGCATTGGGTTGGGGTCCATGCTTACCCCAGCCGATGATGATGAGGACCCACAAGTAGTTCTTGTTGGAGAGGAAGGCCATGAAGATCAGGCTGTGCAGGTAGAGACCTTCCACCAGGATCCAGTAGTGGTTGGTGGCCAGAAAATAGAGGAAAAGAGTCACCACCACCTTGCAGCCAACCTGTGGATATATAGTCAGAGAGGTGCTCATGTTAGGCTGTCCCCTGAAACCAAAACCCGGTGGCTTTTGCTCTCTGGCCAGCAAAAGCCAGGCTGTGCCCCACGCGCGGCTCACGTTCCTCCTCTTGCAGAGCGCTACATCTCCCCCGGGATGTTCCAGCATCAGACGCGGAGCGGGTGCTTAGGCATTTCCCATAGGAGAGGTATTTCCCGTACCCAGGCACTCTGAGCTCAGACAGGCTGCGAGACCCGTGTCCTCTGTGGCTCTGACCTCTACTGTGGGACCAGGATGGGGAGCAGCTGGGCAGAGCTGTAGGTGGCCCTTCATCCCTCCCCGACTGCATCACCTGAGCAGCACAGCCCCGATCTGGGAGGGTCCCAAGCACATCCCCTTGCACCAGGGCTCCTAAATCCCCTTTTCCCCTGATCCTGCCTCCGGTCTTGGCGCGCCACTTGCCAGGTGGCTCCGTTGTCCCGGCGTGGGAGCCATTTCTGCCTTGAAGTCGTCCTCCCGCATCTTCTCTGTGTCACTGGCCAGTGTGCCCGAGTAGAGCACCACGTCCTTCACGAAGATGCTCACCGCCCGGCAGATGAAGGAGGTGAAGAGGTGGACGTGGATGTAATTGCGTGTGCAGTGCAGGCGCCTATGGAGAAGGGGTGCGACACGAGCCCAGCCCCGGCTGCCCAAGCAGCTCATCACATGTGGGCTCAGGCAACAGGGCGGTCCCAGAGAAGGTGAGCTCCAAGGTGTCAGCCCTCCCATGGGCACAGAAGCCAGACCTGGGGGCACGTGGGGCATCAACGCCTTCAAGAGTAGGGTGGAGTGGATGGGGAGCTGGTCATATTGGGGGTGTTCTGGGGCTTTGGGAAATGGTCTGATGCTTGTGCTGGGGTTTGGCGCTCACTCCCGTTCCCTACGGGGCTGCACCCCCTCAGGGGGTCATGTGTGCAGCCGGTGGCGAGCAGACGGTTCTCCCACACACAGAGATGGGAACTCGGCTCCTTACTTGAAGTAGGAGAGGATGCAGACGGCGACGATGAGGGAGGCCAGGGAGATGGAGTAGCCAACGGTGTACATCAGGTGCAGGCGGTCAAACACCTCCTGGAAGAGAAGGGCTGTGCTCCACAACCCCTCTGCAGCCCAGGCCCCTTCCTCTGCCCCCAGCCTCTGGGCTGAGAGCACAGGAGGACCAGGGCTTGTTTGGGGAGCGGAGGGGGACGAGCAATTCCCCTGGCCTTTGCTGCACTTCCCAGTCCCTCATCCCCACCCCTTTTACGCAGCTCCTCCGATGAGCAGCATCACCTTCTCGCGGCTCCGGCTCTCGGAGGAGAAGAGCAGAGCACACTCGGTGTAATTGGCCCAGGTCTTGTTGATGCTGAGAGCCATGGCCCAATTCCCGTAGGCGCTGCAGTACCTGTAGGCACGACCTGGGAACGGCGACGGGTGCTGTGACGGTGGTGGGACCCGCGGGAGGCCCAGACGCATCCCTGCTCGGTGGAGGATTATCACCAAGGTGAGGTCGCTCCCTGCCCGGGCGCAAGCGCTTACCTTGATGGTTGAAGTCGTAGATGTAGTCGGGGCAGGGCACCGACACCTCCTGGCTGGGGGAGCCCTTCGGCCAGCAGATAATCCCGTCCCACTCTGGAAGGCAACTGGTGTCTGGCCAAGGAGCAAAGACACATGTCAGTTGGGCTCCAAACAGGGCCACATCGTAACCTCCGGCTTCCGCCAGTGTGTGCCGGACCGGGGCAAGGAAAACGCGCTGCTGCGCGATCACCCCTGGCCTGCAGAGCAGGGGGAGCTGAGGGGGGTCTGGGGACACGACCCTGGGGCAGCCCCTCCACGTGCTCTCATTTGTGGTGTGCGCAGGGCAGCCGGCGGCTGGCTGAGCAGGGCGATGATTTAATGAGCACTTAATTGCGCCCAGAGCAGCCACGGTGCCAGGAGCTGCACAAACCCACACCGGGACCCTGCGGCACCCAGGAGCTGCGCGTCTCCCTGGCCCCATCACACCCCCGTCAGAGGGGAGAGCGTTTCCCACAATGTGGCCGGCTCCGCTGGGCTGCCTGACCCACGTGCAGGGGAGGGACACTACCTTTGGTCTTCTCCAGTTGGGCTTTTATGTCTCTCTGACATTTCTCCTTCGCTTCCACCAGGAGATAGATCTGCTCTTCTTTTGTGAGAACATCATCGGGGTCAACCTGCCAAGACAAAACCGGTGACGAACCCCACCTCCCCGTGGCTTGGCTTGGGCCAGCAGTCTCAGACGGCAGCTCAGCTCAGGTCTCCTCTTTGTGCTCACAACTTAGAGATTAATCCTCCCTGGGAGAGCTTGACCCACCCTGGTGATCTCCATGTCCCCAGAGAGCTGCCACCGCCTGCTCAGCGACATGAGCCACCCGCAGCTGGGATCCGGGATCCCGTAGCTGGGAGCGAAGCTGCTCTGTCCCAGCAGCACCCCAAAGGTCGTTGAGGAGACCCACAAAGAATTCCCGACTCGGGGCAGGACCCACATCACTTCTGCTGCCAAAAACCACCCCATTGCTCCCTGCCACCAACCCCTGAATCCAACCAGCTAATTGACACCAAGTCCAAAATCACAAGGGGCTCAAGGGCTGTTATGGGAACATCATCTCCCGCGGTGGAAATGACGCTTTGCTGAACCCTGCAGGGTGGTGGTCTCACCCGCAGACTCGTAGCATCAAGCAGGACCATCCTTGAGGCAAGAAATGAGAATCAAAGCCGGTGCAAGAGCCAGGCAGGGAAGGCAGGAGCACGCATGGAAAATGGATGTGCTGGTAGGCAAAGCTGACGGCACAGCCACGGCATGGCGGGGCTCTCCCAGCCCTCCCCGGGCAAGGCAGGTTTTGCGCGGCTTCGGGTAGATCCAAACAATACGGGGGAAGAGAAGAGTGCTGCCTGCCTTCCCGCTCACGGTTTTCCCCCTTGCAAGTCTGAGGCTGACCATGAGCCCCCCTTCCACCCTGTCCACGGTCCACTGAGAAATGTCCATGTTTCTGTGCTAGAAATCAGTGGCACGTCAGGCTTCTGCCCGGCTCCTTCTCACCCACCCCAAGAGCGGTGCTGGATGCCCCCGTTGCCCACACGGAGCCCTTCAGAGCCAGCTCTGGCAACCCCTGGTCAAAGTGGCCATCCGGGCTCTGCAAACACGGGGGTGCCCAACACCGGGCGCAGCACGATGCAGACGAGTGCAGCTGGTCACACGTGTAAACGGCTTTTGGGACGTTTTGGGCTGAGATGCTCAAAGGAGTTTGGAGCCGGGATGCGGGGGGTTCGCGTTGGCTCTCAGACTCCCCACAGGTGAGCACGGCCAAATCCTGCCCCAGAGAGGAGACCCCGAACTCCCACTCACACCCCTCCCAAAAGCAGGGTGGGTGGACGGGGGGGCGGAGTGGTGAGGGGCGTAGGGCAGGAGTGGGGGTCCTGGCCTGGTGGTGCCCTGGGGGTGCATCAGCAGGGTGGGGGCCCAGCTTTGGGAGAGGCACTGGGTGCGCCCAGCTCTGCCCTCGCCAGGTCCCTCCAGCCTCGCCTGCGCTGACCACAAATCACCTCCGAGGCAGCGAACCCTGCCCTGGATGCACCCAAGAAATGGAAAAACCATCAGGTCGCGGAGCCTCCAGGGCTGCTGGAAAGCTTTTAGCCGGAGCGAGAGGCTCTCCCCTCCGAACACGATCACACACGAGCGCCA